AGAGGACACAAACTAAAGTCAATTTTATTTTAAATAAATGAACTCTGTGTCTGCTCCTGTTCATGGTTACAGTCTCAGAAACCCATAGGAGGTTACTATGAGTTCGCACTAACTGTATGGCAGTGAGTCTGGAGCTTAGAGCTTGTCCTGGGAAAGAGTTAAAAAACGTTTTCTTTGTTAAACCGCAAATTTGGCTATAAAATGAGGGGGCTTCAAAAAGTTGGTGGGGAAGAAAGTGGATTTAAAAGATAATGATTTTTTTTCATGAACTTTTTGAATCCCCTTTGTAAAGTCAGGTAGTCAGTCCATGGAGACCAGCAGGTGCACTTTCAAACAACATGATTTGTTTTCCTAGTTTTCAATGCACTATTAATGTAGAGTGATATATCAAAGCAATGTACAGCACACTTAACAAGTATGACATCATGCACAACAGAGCAGGACACTGCCCAGATCTGCTCCATCCATGATTGGTCACGGACCATTGTAATCCAGCAGGTTCTCGTTGGCGGATTTTCAAAAGTCGATTTCCAAGTCTTTCTTCCTAGTCTGGAAACTCATTGAAACCTGTTCTTCACCATAACAGCATGCAAACCACTACTGCAGACAAGTGGTGGCTACACAAGACGTGACTGTTGTTGTTGTTGTTGTTGTTGTTGTTAGGTGTCCTTGAATCAGGTTCAACTCAAAGTGACCCTATACGCAACAGAACAAAATACTGCACCATTCTCACCATTGATGTCATGTGTAAGCCCATCGTTGCAGCCACTGTGTCAAGTCAGTTACCAGTGATTGGTGCAAGATGTGCTCCGTCTAGAAAATGAGCCTGGGACACTCACCCTGAAGGCAAGAATTCTGCCACCGAGCACCGATGTCTCCATTTCTCTCCCGAGTGAACTAAAAGGAAGTGTACTCAGACCATTCTCTTTTATAAACCTACAAGTTGGGCCTCCACTTAAGTACTCCCTCAATGCAAGAACACTTTGTTTTATTAACTGGCATTCCATGATGCTTACCTTCCTGACACGATCACTGAAGACAAAGCGGGTGCATTAGTAAACGTGTTGAAGAAAGCTGATGGTGCCTGGCAATAAAAAGATATAGCGTCTGGGGTCTTAAAGGCTTGAAGGTAAACAAGCGGCCATCTAGCTCAAAGCAACAAAGCCGACATGGAAGAAGCACACCAGCCTGTGTGATTACAAGGTGTCGAAGGGATCAGGTATCAGGCATCAAAGAACAAAAATCATATCATTGAGAATGAGTGGGCGTGCAGAGTGGAGACCCAAAGCCCATCTGTAGGCAATTGGACATCCCATTACAGAAGGGACGGGGGGAGGAGACGAACCAGTCAGGGTGCAGTATAGCAACGATGAAACATACAACTTCCCTCTAGTTCTTAAATGCTTCCTCCCCACGCCCCACTCCACAATTATGATCCCAATTCTATCTTATAAACCTGGCTAGGCCAGAGTATTTACACTGATACAGATAGAAACTGCAAACACAGGGAATCCAGGACAGATTAGCTCTTCAGGACCAGTGGTGAGAGTGGCAATACTGGAAGAGTGGAGGGAAGGTGGGGTAGAAAGGGGAAACCGATAATAAGGATCTACATATAATCCCCGTCCCTGGGGGACAGATAACAGAAAAGTGGGTGAAGGGAGACGTTAGACAGTGTAAGGTATGACAAAATAATAATAATTTATAAATTATCAAGGGTTCATGATGGAGGATGACAGGGAGGGAGGGGGAAAATGAGGAGCTGATACCAAGGGCTCAAGTAGAAAGCAAATGTTTTGAGAATGATGAGGGTAACAAATTTACAAATGTGCTTGCCGTAATGGATGTATGTACGTATTGGGATAAGAGTTGAATGAGCCCCCAGTAAAATAATTTCAAAACAAAACAAAACCAAAAAAGCATTGTTATAAAATAATAGAAACTTTCATTAAATAAACAAAACTATATATTAAAAAGAAAAAAATAATAGTATAAATAAAATAAACCTATGTGTTCATGCATCTCTGCAAGGAGTCTTGAAAGAGAACTGCATGCTGGGTAAAGTGGAAGATTGGCCAAAAAAAGGAAGACACTCCAGGAGAAGGATTCATCCAGTGTCTACAACAAAGGGCTCAAACACACCAGCAATGGTGAGGGTGCTGCAGGAGGGGGCAGGGTTTCAGTCAGTTATACATGGGGTCCCCAGGAACCAACTCCATGGCACCGAGCCACCACAGCAACAGATAACAAAGACCCCTAAAGGCACTGCTGGGTAAGCAGGGCACTGCTCATCCTAAGACCCTGGTTTCAAACCCCTTATCCGTCTTGGGGGAGACAGAGGAAGCTCTCTGCTTCTGTAAAGATTGACAGTCTTGGAAACCCTACACAGGGTCGCGATGAGTTGGAATGGAATTGGAAAAAGTTCCGAGCTCGATTTAATGCCAATTCTCTCCACATCTAACACTAAAGGTGACTAAAGAAACCACTTCCCACTTCCCATAGAGGAAAGAGCCAGGCTGCCATGAGTCTGGCCCACACAGAGCTGAGCTCCCTGACAGAGAGGCGCGGGAGTGAGCAGAGCTGAAAGCCAACCTGGGAGAATGTGTCTTTGAATGAAATCATCTCCAAATGGCCTGGGAAGTGCTTGCAGCTTTGTTTGTGCTGCCTCAGAAGAAAAGAGAGATTTTTCACAGGGGACCTTTTTTTTTTTAAAGAACAACAAACGCTGCTATTTTAAGCTTGGGGGATGGGGGATTGTATCTGGAAGTTTACACAAGTGGGTGCTGGCTGATTGACATCTAGCCCCAGCACTGGCTGGTCCCAGCTTCCAAGTTTAGCAAAGGGGGAAGCTGTTTCCTGAAGCTCCTGCAGCCCTGGGCACATGAGTTCTCTCCAGCACTGTGTGAGGTTTGCAAGCTAGGCAGAAAAAGCTGCTTAGAAATTCTAAGCAAGGTTTGTCATTTGCCTGATGTTGGAAGGCAACGGGGCATCGCAAAGTCATGAAGGACACCTCCCAAGACTTGGGCAGCCAGCAAGCCCAAGACTTACTGGTACAAGGTTACTGGCTATTTACTAGAGGTACTAGGTAACTGTGTGTGTGTGTGTGTGTGTGTGTGTGTGTGTGTGTGTGTGTGTGTTTATGAAGAGTCCCTGGCCTGGGGCGGGGGGTTCAAACAGTACTACTGGCCTGCTAACCAAAAGGCTGGCAGTACAAGCACACGCAGAGGAACCTATGAAGAAAGCGCTGGGAACTGACTATTTTAAACATCAGCCGCTGAAGAGACTGGGGACACAGGTCTACTCTGACACACATAGATCACGCGACTCAGAGTGGACTCAACAACAACTGGGACTGGCGGGTAGCCGCACAAACCTGGGGAGAGCCTTCACACTAAGGTTGGGGAAATTACTTCTGGAAGCAAAAGAAAAAAAACCACAGCCTAGACCAGAGGATGTACACTGGTACAGATAGGAACTGAAAATACAGGGAATCCAGGGCGGATGAGCCCTACAGGACCAGTGGTGTGAGTGGCGAAACAGGAAAGGTAGAGGGAGAGTGGGTGGGAAAGAGGGAACCGATTACAAGGAACTATATGTGACCTCCTCCCTGGGGGACGGACAACCAAAAAGTGGGTGAAGGGAGACGTCGGACAGGGCAAGATATGACAAAATAACAATTTATAAACTATCAAGGGCTCATGAGGGAGGGGGGAGGGAGGGGAAAAATGAGGACCTAATGCCGGGGATTTAAGTGGAGAGAAAATGTTTTGAGAATGATGTACAAATGCGCTTTACACAATTGATGTGTGTATGGATTGCGATAACAGTTGTATGAGCCCCTAATAAAATGTTTAAAAACAAAACACAGCCATTGATAATCCTATGAAGCATAGTTCTATTCTGAGACACATGGCCATCAGTCCAAGCTGAGTCTACAACTGGTGTTTACTATTATTAAGGAACTGTGTCCCTTAAGTGTGAGAGCGCCAACTCTAGGATCAGGCTGCCTGGGTTCAAACCCTCGCTCCACCCATAAACGCTCAGGGTCCTCATTTGTAAACTAGGGAAGGTGGCAGTAAGGCCTTGCATTCCTAAGGCAGTTAGCAGTGGTTGGATAAGCTAATACACACACACACACACACACACACACACACACACACAGTGCCTTAAAGAAGCATGGCACAAGGCCATACTCAGGACAAGTGACCATGACTGTTGCTGGGACAGTGTTTTCCCAGAGGGGCCAGCAGTTCCAAGCAGGAGACCAGTCCCTTAGTCCCTCTGGCCTTTCCAAGTCAGACAAAAGGCAAGGGAAACATGATTGGTGCTAAAAATAATAATGATGACAATAAATCGCCCATCCCAGCTCTTCCGATGGGCTCTCAAACCCTGAGGTTTCAAGACCTTCCCAAAGGGAAGCACACTTGCCCAGTGTGACCAGGAAGGTGGGATAGAGAAAGGGAAGCCCCTACCACCCTCCCCCCACCCCACCCCCAAAGTGCTGTTAGCTTTAAAAAAAGCAACCCGAAATCTTTCCAGGAAACCAAAACACAGCCCAACTTTCTCCACAGGAGGTCGGAATTACATTTGGGCTTCCCTGGCCAGAAGTTTAAAAGTAACTGGAAACATTGCGTGGTCAGTTAGAACTTAAAAATGAGAGAGAGAAAATTTTTTTTTCCTTCTTCAGAATCTGAAAAATAGCGTTGAAACAGTGTACCATTCAAAGAAGAGACAAAAGGAGAGGGACTGAGAGAAAGAAAGGAAGGGAGGTGATCTTTCAAAGACTGGTTCGCAAGGGCCCCTTTCAGGCTGACTCTCTTTAAAAGCTGTGAGTTCTGGAAACTCTATGCCTCTCAGACGCCCTGGACACCCACTTGGGGACTCAGCCTTGCAGAATCGGGAGTTCAGCCCCAGTGGGGGGAAGGGAAGGAGGAGGCACCATGTATCCACATCTCTTCTTCCCACCACTGTTTTGAAAGGGAAATAGTAAAATCACTAACCTTGTCTCTTGTCCGGGAAGCGGACCGTGCCCAGCGGAGCCTGGCGCCCACAGCAGAGTGTCCCGAAGTAGAGGAGGTGGACCAGGAGGGGAAAGTTTGCGAGCCAGCTCCTCTGGGCACATGGCATGATTCAGTTGTGGGGGAGAAGAAAAATAGAAAAGTTTGAGCCCTCAGCTCAGGAAATCGAGTCCTTGCCTGGGGCCCAGCTGACAGGCACTGGGGTGCATGGTCCAGAACTGGGGAGCCAGTGGGAAGACGCAGCCCACCACCTCCCTGGGCAGTTCTGAGCGGAAAGGGGCTAGGTACCTTTGTCCCCCTCTGTGCTCCTGCAAGGGGAGCGATTGGGCTGACAGTGGCTGAGCGCTAAGGGGTGTGGAGTGGGTCGGAGCACAGCCCACCCCACGTCCCCACCCCTCTGTCTGCCTTCCTCACGCCCAGACCGCATCTTCCCCGGACTCCCACCCCCGCGCTCTCCAGCCCCGCCCAGAGCTGGGGCCCAGCCGGCCAAATAGGGGCGCCCTGAGAGCCACCCCGGGCAGGAGGGGGAAGGCAGGGGGGAAGGGGGGAGGCAGCCCGCTGGACTAGGATCCCAGGCCAGCCTCTCGCCTGGCCAAAATACTAGCGGCAAAAGTTGAGCCCTAAAGTGGGGAGAAAGGACCCCACTCCCTTCCGCCTCCCAGCTCAGTGCTGCCCCCTGATGCTGCCTGCAGAATCCAGCTGTCCCCAGCGTGGCCGGCCAAGACTCCTCCTTCCCACCAGGCGGGATAGGACTTCCATTTGAAAAGGTTACAAGTTACCAATAGCTTTTTGTTTGTTTGCTTGCTTGCTTGGCCAAGTCACGGAGAGCGACAAAGTCCAGCTAATCTGCTAGCCTGGGTGGCATACAGAGCGCTGGTTGTGTAGTGGTTTATTCGTTCGACTGCTAAACACAGGTCAGCAGTTCGAACTCACCCACTAGCTGCGGCTTGGAGGAACAGTTGAGGTTTTCCACTCCACTGAAATGCAAAGAGGAGCCCTGATGGCGTAGTGGTTGTGGGCTGCGATCTGCACCATCTGCAGTTCGAAACCACGAGCTACTTCCCATAGAAAATCCGTTTCGGAAACTCACAGGAAGCAGTTCTACTTGGTCCCATAGGGTCACTATGAGTTGAAATGGACAAGATGGAAGTGAGTTTGATTTTTTTTAATCAGCTGGTATGGTGGGTGCCATCGAATGGGCTCTGACCCATAGGGACCTTCTGCACAACAGAAGGAAACACTGCTCAGTCCTGGACAATCCTCACAATTAATCGTCCCCATGCTTCAGCCCAATGTGGCAGCCACAGTGTCACTCCATCTTCTTGCCGGCCTTCCTCTTTGCCACTGCCTCTCTGCTTTTCCAAGCAGGATGTGCTGGAGCAGGCTGTCCGCTGGGGTGACCCAGGACAGATCCCATTATCTGTAAAACAGAGTGACCGGGCCAGACCCTGCTCTGAGTTTGCAAGTCTCCAGGAGGCATTTCTAATCATACAACTCTGTCATTCCTAGTCCATCCATCCCATCCCAAAGGTGTGGAGTGTGGAGGAAGTGAGTCACCCCAGAAGCTACCTATCTGGCTAGTTATCCAGTTCACTTAATTCGGAGTGGCCTATGGAAGGAGCTTCCATTCCAGGGTCTCCCTGTAACTCACTAAGAGAATGCCACAAACCCAGGACTTTCCAAGGCATTCTGGGAGTCTACCACAATGCTGGAGTCAAGAGGTTCTACCTCTAATCAGAACCACACCAATGGGGATTGTGGACTGTAGGAATATCTCCTTACTCCACTCGGGAAAATTTGCCCCCAGCTGTAGTATTCTCTGGCATCCATCCAAGCACCTGCACGCAGCAGAAGTTTCAGTATGTCAGCCCACCCAACTGCACAGGGACAGGGAAACAAAGTCAACCACATCGTCCCAGGGTGAGTGGTCCTTACAGCTCTGGAATAGGGAGTCTAATGATCTTCAGATTGAAAACAGTAGAACCCTGGACCTCGACGCTAACCCATTCTAGAAAGAATGTTGAGATGCGATGCAGTTGAGTTCCGAATCAGTTTATCCCATAAGAATTAACTGAAAACGGATTAATCCGTTCTCTACCACCAAGCTTTTACACTAACCTTGCCTTTTTATACAAAAGATGGCGTGGGCATTTCAAAGTAAATTGAATAATATAATTAAATAATATAATTACAATAAGAAACACAACATTAAAAAAGTTTTTAACAAGTAGAGTATGGCCATACCTTGAGATTGATGAGGATCTGGATCTGTGGACACGCACATGGCGAGGAGGTATAGAAAGAGTCATTGTGTGGAAGGGGAATCCCCTTCCATGAAATCAACTGGTGACTGCTTTTCAGGAGTTTGTTTCCTTCTCTGCCTTTTTCCACTAGGACCTGGCTGACTTTCTCTAAAAAAAAATTATCTGTCTAATGTGGTCTGCTGTGGCATTTCCTTAACTGTTTCCTTAAAGGGTTTACTAAAGTATCATCAACAATATCAGTAACATGGTTAATCAGTTCTTTATCATGATGACACTTTTCAAAAAACTCTCTTAGGACCCTTGTTTTTTATCTAAACACAATACAAAAAGCCACAAAAGCTAAGAAAATTATAGCAAAGGGCTTGGAACACAGCCAAAAATGGTTTAAACAACTGTGTACTCACAACACCAACTAACATTGAGTGGCCGAAACAGAACTACTTTTGCTTACAAAGATCATGTGCGTTGGTAGGATTCCGATTTGTTCGAGCTCCAAAGCAAGACTTTCTCGACTTTTCGCATCGAAATCCAATTGTCATTTACTGATGCAGTCAAGTACTGGGGTTCTACACATTGAGACTGTCCACAGACGAGGTGTTAGTTGTCTAGTACTTCCATAACAAATAATCACCATTCTGATAGTCACAGGTCTGACATGGGTCTCACTGGGCTAAAATCAAGGTGTCAGCTGTGCTGGTTCTTTGTGGAGTCTCTAAGAGTTGCTTAATTTCTACTATACCAACTTCTAATAGCTGCTTACAGTTCTTGGTGCATGGCCCGTTTCATCTTCAGAACTAGCCATGGTGGATCTCAAATCTTCCTTAAAGCACAGTATTCAAACATTCTTGTGACTCCTTCACCCAGATTTGAACCCACTAGCTACTCTGCAGGAGAAAGACTCCTATAAACAGTTACAGTCTCAGAAATTCCCAAGGGCAGTTCTACCCTGTCCTATAGCACCACTATGAGTCAGCATTGACTGAATGGCTGTGGTTTGAGGGGGATTTGTTTGTTTGTTTGTTTGTTTGTTTGTGGTACGATTCCATTGGCTCACATAGGCCAGCACTCCCCATGTGAAATAGGAAGCTGTCAGTTCTCAGAAAAATTTAAGTCTCTGAAACCCTAAAGAGTAGTTCTACTCTTCCCTATGAGTCAGAATTGACTCAGCAATGGTGGATACGTAAGACAAAGTCTCTCCATCTAATGAGCATTCTGGCTGTGCTTCTTCCAAGGCAGATCGGTTTGTTCTTTTGGAGGTTCATGACACTTTCAATATTCTTCATCAGCACCATAATTCAAATGCATCAATTCTTCTTTAGTCTTCCTTATTCAATGTCCAATTTTCAGAGGCATATGAAGTCACTGAAACTACTATGGCTTGCCTCTGGGACCTAGGGGGAGGGTGAATGGTGTCGACACTTTGCTGGGCATGCCTACACAGCTGGGCCCCTCTAGGGTTTCCCCTATGGGTTCCAATACATTTCTTCCCTTTTGCTTAAAAAAAAAAAATACTATGGCTTGGGTTAGGCTTACTTTAGTCCAAAAGCAACATCTTTGCTTTTCAATACTTTGAGGAGGTCTTGTGAATTTATATGTATAGATATATAGACACACATATATATATATATAATTGAGTAATGCTGGATATCAAATCAATACAAAATGTATATTCAATATATTCTATTACATCTTATGATCAATATATTAATAGAATGATATTAAGTTTAGATAACATTTTTTATAAAATATGAAAAATTGTGTCATTTGTAATGATTTAAACTTTACGTAAAGTAATTTAAACATCAACTAAATTTAAATAGCTTTTCTTTTAGAGGGTGTATTAGGCTGGGTTCTCCACAGAGGCAAAACTAGTGTACTTATAAAAAGAGAAAATCATACCAAGAAAAGGGCTCTTATGATTGTAGAAGTGGGTAAGTCTTGTTCCGCTTTAAGTCCATGGGTCAGATGTTCTGCTGCAGGCTTCTGCTGACTTGTGTAGCTTTGGGGACTGATAAACCTAGCATTGGCAGGACTACCACAGACTGGAGAAGCAAAGGAACCCAAGGTCAGCAGACCAGACTTATGACTGGAGAAGCAATAAACCCAATGGCGACGAGTCAGATGGCAAGTCAATAATGGCTCCCTGAAGCAGTAGACGGTAGGGCAGACTGTTTGCTCAAGCTTTAAGAACTGCTAACAAGCCAGATGCAGGATCCAGACTCTGACCCCATAAACAAGTTTCCCCATGGCCCTCATTCCTGAAGGAGATTCCCTTTCAATTGCATCAGGGCTGTGACCTGAGTAAGGGGTTGCATTCCACCCTAATCTTCTTCAAATTGATTGGCTACTTGTAGCAAATCCCATTATGGTGTTGATTGCATTGAGTCAGGTTACAGCATGGAAGATTGCTAGGACTCAACTGCCATACCACTGCAAATTCAGACAAATTGACACAAAACTTAATTATAATAGAGGGCAATCATTTATTTAAGATTATCAGTGTTTATAATAGAATATAGACTTGCCCACTGCCATTGAGTCAATTTTGACTTAGAGTGACCCAACATAGAGTTTCTGAGACTGTAAATCTTTATAGGAGCAGAGAGCCTCATTTATCTCCCTCTCAGAAGCTGGTGGGTTTAAACTGATGACCTTGCAGTTAGCAGCCCCACACCTAATCAACAGCACCATTATGTTATCATGAGCAAGCAGCAGAACTACTCTGAGGCTCCTTTCTGTTGTATAAACATCATATAGAGATCGCAACCTGAGCCTCAGAGGGATTTGGCTCTACTGCCATATCTGATGAAATGGCATTTCAGATGGCCCAGTAGAAATGTACATGAAAGCAATGATACTCCAAAAACAATAAGCACACTTAGCATTCAGATTCTTGGATTTTAAATACCCTTCACCTCTAAAAAGGAAAGCCAGCCAACCAACCCATTGCACCGAGTTGATCCTTAATCATAGTGACGCTGGAGGAAGGAATGAAGCTGTCCCT